TGTTGTGTCAGCGTGGTCGAGTCTGAACTCTTCTCTATCGGCTTAATTTATGTTGGCGACATATGTGATCAGACGACACAGGTAACCACACACAGCAATGTGGCCTGGCTGGGAATCAGATGAATGTGGCCCTCAGCTCCCTTGAATGGATATCAATAGCAATTAGGGTAAAGTGCATTTCAGCTGCCGCTTGATACAAGAGAAAAAATTAACAGAGGCAGTTTGATGAAGTTGGCGATAAACAGTCCTGTGGACGTCTGCTCTGCCTGCATACTTGGCATTAGATCAAGGTGAATCTGGTATGAGTAAGGGAATGAGCTAAGGAAAGGGTGAGTGTGTGTATGTGTGCATTTGCAGCCCTCATTAGTAAACTCCAGTCCTGCGTTCACAGTATGAACACTCCACTCCTCCTCTTCCCTTCACTCTCTGCCTCACAACTAAATGAGGTTAATAAACTCAAGAGTTTACTACCATCACTAACACCATCCCTCCTCCTGTGCTTTCTCCTTCATCTCCCCTTCCCCACCTCTGTTTCTCTCTGCACTCCTGAGCCAGCACTCCTCCACTTCCCTACCAATCCTAAGCCTCCCTCCCTCTTTCATCTCAGCTGAAATGCTTTCTTCCTCTTTTCTTCACCTCTTTTTTATTGTCATTGTTGCAAGGCAAAAGCTCTGGGATTTCCTCCCTTTTTTCCCAGGACAGAGCTGCAATTACAGCTCAGGAGAGAAGAAGACCAGCTGTGCAAGGGAAAAAAGAGCTGCTGATAGCAGCTGCTGGAAGACAAAGATGAGGGCGCCCCCCAGAGGCCAGGAGGCAAAAGCGCTAATTCTTCCACCACATCACATCAAAGCGCAGACATATTTCCAGCCCACATGGTTGTTTTTAATAGTGCCAGACAGGGTAATCTTGACCAAACAGGAATACAACCTGTCATAACGGATAACGTGCTCTGTTATGACCTGGTGTGCATGTCCTGGGCATTAAACCATAACTGAACTCCCACGGCTTTGGCAGAAACAAGCAGCAATACCAAAGAAATGTGAGGAATGCATCAAACAGCCTTGGGAGCTGTTACCTTGGACAGCATGCGAACAGGGACATCCTATAAGTAGAGAATAGTTAAAGTGTTATTAAATTGGTGTCAAAGGTCAAGGAAGAATGTAGACAACTGTTGGTTGCATATATTCAAGAGCGCTACTTTGGTATAAATATATAAGTTAGCAGACATTAGGTTTAAAATGAATACTGCTGAAACACACTGCTGCTGGTGTTATAGCTGGTTGTTCTTTCATCTTAACACTTATATCCTCAAGGAATAGGATCAATGAAGAAAATCTTGTCCTGGCTGTATTAACTAACACACTCATTAAACTATATGATTATCTGAAATCTGACAGGATTATCATCAAACAGGAGGTTTAAGTATTGTTTTGTTCGCCGGTCTGGGCACAGTGCTCCACCGATCATATGACCGAGGGCAACTTTATTCTACAGTGAATCAAAGCTCTTCAATTTGCACCGTTCTGGACCAGACTGAAAAACTGAAAAACAACTAAATTCAACTGTCTACTAAAATGGAACTGCCTCTAATTGGTTTTCATACAAGACACTTTCGGCCTGAAGGTGGTGGCTGTTTTTATTTGATTTCCAGTTAACAAATCCAGTGAAAAGACACAAACCAACATAGGATTAAAGAGTCTCTTAGTAGTTGTGACCCCCCTGGGCTCTCAGCTCACATGCTCCGGGCACTTCATTTAACAGACTTACAATCAATTTAACCATAAAACCGAATCTAAGGAGTTAGTTATAAGACCACACTTTGATGTGGAAATGATCTTATCTCTGAGTAATGTCTAGACCTGACCTAAGTTACTTTCCTGCTGGCCACGTGGGGGAATTGCTGCTTGTTAAGCATATGCAATCTTTTGGTGGAATCTGTATGAGCTTTGTCAGCAATGTGAGAAACAACTAGTTAAAGTTGGGAGGAGTTTAGCAGCCAACGCAACCATAGAACATGCACTATATCTTTGAAACCCTCTTAGGAACGCCTCACATCCTTTACTGATGCAGTGGCACACGTTTTCAAAGCTGTGTTTGACTTAATTAGTCTTCTTCATTCGTCTATATCCCTGCTATAAAAAAGCTATCTTTCCCTTTTTGGTTTAGCCTCCAATGACTAAACCATCAGTCAGGCTGAATAAGGGGAAAATCACCGGGTAAGTGCCATCGGTTTAAGAGACTGAATCACACTTTCTTCTTTGTAGTTTTAGTGATATATAGCTTGATCACCAGTATAAAATTAAAACATAAATACATATCCAAAAACTAGTTCCAAATAGAGGCCTTTCCACAATACAATATTTCTACTGAACAAAAAAAAAGTTTTGATATGTGATCAGGTCTTTGCTTCTGGGACTTTTTAACATCACTCTAACTTATCTTTGCATAATACCTGCTTAGATACCCAAAGCTTTTAATGAGCAGCTGCCAGATCACCATTTTTGATCAGTCTGAAAACACAGGATCTTTTCATGAGAACGAATTGGAAAGGAATCAAAGAGGTCTATTTATGATTTAAGCCATAGTTTTTTTAAAACATTTTTTTGTCTTTAATCATTTCACTACAACATAATGTGACCCCAGTTGGATGGAAATATGCGACTACACTATGTGAGCAATATTTATGAGGATTTAGACTGAATTTCTGGAATAATGATTCAGTCTTCTCCTGCACATTCAATCTTGATCTGATCGTATAAGCTGACACAACTTGAGACCACAGTTTTACATGTGCCGCTTGATGAACACTTTTATCTCCAGACTTCTAGGATTCCTGGCAGCAACTGGAAAATGAACTTTAGCCATTTACATCGGCCGCCAGACACACAGGAGCACATAATCAAAACAATTGGGATGTGCGCCTGTTCAGCTTCAGCTATCAGCTCCCCGCAATGTAATGTTTCCTACCAGCTGTCGCACTGTCAAGGCTGTCTGTGGATGCGTAACAAAGAGAGAGTGATGGCAGCAGGAGCTCCCGTCGGGCCCGTGGGACAGTCGGCGAGGAGCAGACGGTCGTGTCGTTTCACTGGAAACATATGGTGAAACTCAAGTGTGTAATTTACCTAGGACTACGGGTGGCCTTGAGCTCGCATGTGCACACACATGCAAGCTCGCATGTACACATACACAAGTGACAGGGTGTAATTTACCTGGGGCCTATGGGTGGCCCAGGATCCTGTTGCACTTGTCCTACCGCTCCAACACCGGCGCTGAACCGGACAGAGACAGTGAAACTAATTTTCCCAGGCCTGCAGAGGGGAGAGTAAGAAATCACAGGCTTGACAGAGACATTGTAGAAAACTAGATACACTTTGAGGTGAAGACATTACCCCC